GGTTCTTCAGATTATAAAAAGGTAAGAAAGAGATGGTTCTTTAAAGAACCTTTGACTGAATGGTTCTTTGTGGAACCAAAAATGGTTCTTCTATGGCATCGCTTGAAGAACCTTTTGAAGCACCTTTATTTTTAAGAGTGTACAGCCACTTTTACCACCAACATCCATTATTTAATGCTTTTCAATCTGTATCACTTCTCTCAGAATGGTGCGATGATAAAGATGATCTCTCTTTGGATACTGAGGATTTACTCAGCTTCTCATATCAAGTGGCTAAAGGCATGGACTTCCTCACATCCAAAAATGTAAGTGTGTATTAGATTTATTCACCTCTCAAGTTTCAGAGTGGGTTGAACAGACCTTGTAACGTTATCCTTTCTGGATTCTCATATAGAATCAGCACAGATTTTTTTGTCTCAGTAGTGAATATGTACTTCATAACATGTTTTTTGACTAATAAATTGCTGTTATCTGTGTTGCCATGTATTTTAAGTGTATCCACAGAGATCTGGCTGCCAGGAACGTACTACTTACTCAGGGTCGAGTAGCAAAGATATGTGATTTCGGTTTGGCACGCGACATCACTAGAGATTCCAGCTACGTCCTGAGGGGAAATGTGAGGAAGTGCTGTAAATCCTCTACCACACTCACACCTACTGCCAGGCTATATATTAATATCAAATATATTTAGCATTTTTAGATCTCATGTAGTAAATGAGCCGTTAAATTCAAGGAATAGTTCATTAAATGAAAATTCTGTCATAATTTACTCAACCTTACGTCATTTCAAATCTGCATGGCTTTCTGTCGTCTGTGGAACACAAGATATTTTGAAGAATGATTCAACTCTATTTGTTCAAATAATAAGTCAGTGGAGTCAACACTGGACCTCATTGACTTTGAGAATATCTTCTGTGTTTAGTAAATGACCAAATGTTCATCTTTGAGTGAACTATCCCTTTAAGTGTACATGATATTGCTTAATAACATATTACTCAAAAAAAAAAAATGTTAAAGCATTTAGTATCATGAATGTTATGTTTTCTCTCTAGGCTCGTTTACCAGTGAAATGGATGTCCCCAGAGAGCCTGTTTGCTTGCGTGTACACTTTTGAGAGCGATGTCTGGTCCTACGGTATCTTATTGTGGGAGATCTTCTCTCTGGGTCTGTATGAGCTGGTATAAGGCCTATTAAACATCTGATATTTAATAGGCGTGATCTTATGAAGGTCTTATGAGGTGAAAATCTGCCTGCAGGAAATCATTATCTCAATATGTTTGACCTAAAAGCCTCATCTTCCATTTAAGTTTTAACTTTAACTGTGGCATTTAAGAGCATCTCCTGCTCTTTGTTTGGCTCTCAATGCAACTCCATTAGCCTTGTCTTCCATTATATTTCAGATTACTCAAGATACAGCATGTCCAGCCATGTAACTGTTAAAGTATTTTTCTAAATGCAGCTGGGCTCCATTTTATGGTATTGATCTACATGGTATTTTGAGTGCATGAACAGCTACCATGGTCAGGCAAGCATTTAGATATAGAACCTAATGTTACCTCATCAGATAAATGACCAGCTCTACTGATGACATCATTGTGTATCTTTTGTCTTTGACCGGGTGAACAACTGCAAGTACATCTTGACCGAACAGTAAATGGTAATGATACTGAACCCAAGGCAAGTCCTTTTTAATGTGTGACTATCTGAAGCACTTAATACCAATAAATGAAGGTTCTTGTTCATGCATCTGTACTGTTTTCAGCATGTGATTACTCTCAAGTGAATGTTATAATGCATTATTGTATCTATGAGATCCCCATCTCAACTTGTACTTACTGGTATAACGGTCATATTTACTACCAGTGGGGGAAAAAAAACGATGTGTTTACATTGTTTTTTTTGGCAATTTTGTTTGAATTTGGAATTTAACATTTGAGCGGTTGAATATGTATATACAAGTAAAAAGTTTGTTGCTGTGCAATGAGAGAATCATATTTGGATTGTACATTGTTTCTTGTAATAACTGACTAGGTTCCATTCTTTAAATGCGGCTAACTTGGCTACATTAGCTGGCATAAAACATAATGTTTTGTTCTCAAAGCATGCTTAAAAGATGATAAACATATCAGACATCTGCTATTAACAAGCTAATTATTCCAGTAGATATCCAAAGTTTATACTAAGTTATTCCAAAATGAATCTAGCCAAGTAAACCATGTTTGAAGGATGGAATGTTGGTCTCAAAAAGAATGTTTTTGAATGTTGACAGACAAATAACTGCTATGAGATTTGACTCTGTAAATATCTGATGTGTCAGCTATTTTTTCAACTTTTAGAGTGTTATGTCAGAAGAAAAAGGCCAGTAGGGAATAATGTGACTGTTTTTATATGGAATAAAAATGAAAATGAAAAATCAAAAGTGTAAAGGATCTATTGTATGAATTGTTTGTGCAATTCCTTAAAAGCTATGCAATGTTTTGATAATAAAATCAATGGCATTTGTTTCAATATCCCGCTTCTAATTTGGACCATCTGAACTAGCTCAACCAATGGCGTAAGTTTTGGATGGGACTCTCTGTTTGTCTGGCCAATGACAGACAACAGGAGCGTTCAGAAACCGGTTTGTAAACGTCATTATTTTGGCAATTCCATTTAGTAATGTAATCAGCAAAATACGTCACCTTATAAATACAATAAAACAAAATCTTGCAACTCTTGAAGCAGACATTTTAGTAGAGAATGTGAATAACATGGTTTGCTTTGTTTCAAGATTGAATATTGTAGAGAGAAAATGATTGGTTTTTGGTAAACTGACAGAGGATAGTTCCTACAAATTAACACTGAAGGTAAAATGATCTGCAAGCAGTTCTTTGCGGTAACAAGGTTTTGTACTGAAGTGCACAGCAATTCAATATGAACAAAATGAACACATTTTATGGTTAAACACCTTAAGACTTGTTTATTTGACTTCTTTGACGATTCATTATTTTATCATTATTCACTCAACTCACTGATTTTCATCAGGCCAAACACTAATCAAATGTCTGGTACAACCAAATAACCATCATATTCTGAAAGTGCACAATCTTTTGGTTGCATACAGCAAAAAAAAATAAAATAAAAAATAATATTTGGATACAGAAGGTTAAAATGTTCAGGGTCCTAATCAGTTCAGTTCTCTCTTCAACCTGTCAGCAGCTTTTTTGGGGAGGAAATTTTAAAGTAAATTGATTGCACACACTATGACAAACATTGGTTCAGTAACAACAACACAATTGAGGGTTTCAGTGCACAGTAAAATCTTATGAAACACACAACACAAGGAAAGAGAATTGGACAGATAAGGGAAAGGTGGGCATCTACTTTATGGGAATCTCAACTTTTGGAATTCCAAAATTCAACAATATCAAAATCTTTTTCAGTTTCCATATACCTTTTAGCTCGAACTCGTCTTTTAACAGTGTTACCGGTCTATACACAGCAATACTGTTTAACAAGGAAGTCTTTTGCCATATGAAAATAAAATTGCTTTGAATACTTCATATATAAAACCATTTCTGAGGTATATAGCCAACAAGCCAATGGGGAAACATCTAGAATGCTTAGATACTGCAACGCAAGAACTGATTGGTCATCGCTGGGGTTAATACACACAGTAACAACCTACACAGCGATACTGGAAGAGTCACAAACTGTTATTGATATAATAGCTTGGACTTTAAATTCTCTCTCTCTCTCACACACACACAAACACACACATAAAAGGAAGACCACTCTTAACTTTAAGACTCTACATCTGCACAATAACCCTGCTTCGGTTTGAATTACAACTTTGGAAATCAAACTAGGAAGAGGATGATATAATCATTCTTTTCCTGAAAATGGGATTTAAAAGATCCACAGTACTCCAGACCATCCTCAGTCACACGTATAGAAATGCAGTGCCCTGGATGTGGCTTCTTGCATAGCTCCCAAAACTATGAGGGAGAACAAAGCATTTATGAATGAGGATTTGAAAGCTTATTCAAGGCGTGTCATTCTCGTCTGAGAAATACACGTACCGTCCATGCACACACACACAAACTAACTTAAAAGACCATTATTAGAAGGAAGGACTATTTTAGTGTGTATGAACACAATAAGTGCTAAAAGTAAGGGGAAAGGTGCACAAAAACTTTTTAGTGGATTACTATGACTAAAAAGCAAATTAACATTCAACAAAAATTGGAAGTAGATAGTTTTTAAACAAAGTAGCTTAAATTTGCTACTTAAAAACTATTAAATTCGATTCTTCTGCATCAAATGTCTGCGATGATTAGAAATAAACTTAAAGTGGCCGTTTTTTTCGTACGTCAGAGACTAGGGGTATAATAATTTCCCAAAAAACTAGTGCCTCAGAAAAACCTCCAGAACAAACTATGACGCACACTAACTATACGTGAAGAGATCATTGTCAGGTAAGGGTTAAACATAGAAAGCATCACTATACACACAATATAAAAACGTTCAAATTAATATAATACTCAATGTAAATCATAAAACTGGAATTACAAATGAAAGTTTACACTTTTCATGCAGCATATAAAATATTCAGTATCTCGCTTTGTTCCTTTATGGTTGTGTTTTTACACGGTATAGTACACGAGACTACAGAAAAACACTGTTTTACAGTGAACTGTTTACAGTGAAAGACTGAGAACAGGGTTTTCTGTTTGGCAAAGACCATGCAAAGGCTAGCAATCCTATGCTCTCTGTTGTTGAAATAAATAATGAGTTTGGCAACCACCTGTTGGTTCGGTGAAAGGCTCCGCACGGTTGCCACAGCGTCCATCTGGTGGTGTTGTGTTCCATGCAGCTGCCATGTTGAGGGAGTTCCTTGTAATAAAAGCTTCTAAGATGCTGCCAGGAAGAGCTGTTTTAGCATAGAGCTTTCAAATTATATACAGCACCAATAAAATCCTAGAAGCGAATATGTGAGATGGCTCCTCCATCTAATTGGCCATTGTGTTCATCCCTGTTACTGAGATTGGGCACTACTGCTGTCCGTCTGAAGAGAGGGGGTTGTTTTCTGCTGTTTTTGAGTCTGTGGTTTCAGTTGCTGCTGCTGCTGCTGTTGTGATGGAGGAAATGTACCTTGCTGCTGAATAGGGAAAGCCTGCAGGATCAGTTGTGTGGACTGGTTGCCATGGAGAAGGTGTGTGCTCTGACAAATACATAGCAGAAAATCAGATACAAGTCAAACACTTTTTATTTAAAAATTAAAACGTGCCTGAAAAAAATTTACTGAAGTTTTACATGGACATTAATTTGTTAGGATCAGTGATTCTCAACCAGGGGCCCCAAGTAAGTCTTGAAATGATTTGTTTGCTTCTTTATAATTTATAATTCTTTTAATCTCATTTAGAGCTATGCCAGCTACCATGGTTATACACATGGCGAGGGGAAAAAAAATAGAATAAAAACAATTCACATACATGTACACACACATATAATTATTATTGGAATAATAATGAATTATTGTCTTATGCTCACCATGTATAACAGTAATATTGTGAAATATTATTAAAATTTAAAATGCCATTTTATATTTTAACATTTTAAAATGTAATTTATTCCTGTGATCAAAGCATCATTACTCCAGTCTTCAGTGTCACATGATCCTTCAGAAATCATTTTAATATACTGATTTGCTGCTCAATTATTATCAATTAATACTGGTGATCATTTATTAATAATAGTTATTTTATTATGAATGTTGAAAAGCTTTTTTTCAGGATTCTTTAATGAATAGAAATCTGAAAATAACAGCATTTATTTTGAAATAGAATGTAACCTTATGTCTTTACTGTCTTTGATCAATTTTACGTCTCTGCAGAATAAAAGTATTGATTTCTTTGATATTGAGATATATATTACATTATAAAATGTTCCGAAACTTAACAATAAAAAAAAGTGTTGTTAACAATCATTTATGACAAAATAAATATATACAACATTAAATTATTTGTTTTTTATATCATTTATATAACATTATATTTTTGAGATTATTTCTTTTTATTACAATAGAAGTTAAAATGGAATTAGATGGAAGGGTCTTTGCATGGGAGAGATACTGTCTTGGACAAAGGGGGGGGGGCATAGAGCCAAAAAGGCTGAGAAGCACTGGTTTAGATGGATTATTAGCTGATAGTACTGAGTTTGACCCAGTATCTTTTTGACCTTCTTGGTCAACTTCCTTAAGGCTTGTCAGCTAG